TATGCTTTACATACAAAGAACCTCAACATGTTTCAATGTGATCTATACTGTATTGTCACAACATACATTTATCTTACTAGAACTCTACATACATTCAAGCTATTTCTAAAAATTTTTCTAGGATTTTAAGCATATTTCTTAAATTTACTTCTATGTGTACCAAGTAAAGAATTTTAAATTCTGATCAATATGAAATGCAGATAGTGAAACTCGAGACTTCCTCATAATTTTATGCTGTTATAAAACAGTTATTAAATCTTAACATTTCAAAATTCTGCATGAATGTGATTATAATTATCAACATAACACTTTTATTTCTTTTTCCTTTCTCAACAAAAACTTGTTTCTGTAAGATTTTTCGTAATGTTTGATTAGACTTGAGTCACTTCTCATGTTGGATGTTGTGCCTGTGTGTGTGTTAACTATAACTTCCTAAAGGTTAGAAGATGTAATGGCCTATGGCTTTTTTCCATTAATTTTATAGGGTAACTGTCCTAACTCTTCAATCATATAAGGTAATGGAAGCCAGGAATAAATAAAATTCTAGATAATTCAGAATACCTTACCTAATAGTCTCCACCATCCCCGTATTTCCAACTTCTCTTTATGCTCCTGATTGGTAGGGAATTAGTTAATCACTACCCCTCTGGTTCACCACTGGCCCATCAAAACCTAGGCAAAAAGTAGGAGGAACATCTGTCAAGTAGAGGATCAACCTTTGTAAGATTGAGATTGATCTGTGAATGCAAATGGATGAAAATATTTGCAAAGTAGCTTCACACGCCTTTGAAAAATTGTTTTAACTCTTTTTTTTCCAGATAAATGAGTCATCATTGTCATCAAAAAGGAAAATGGTAAGAATAAAGTTTACTTCACATTATACTTTAGCTCTAGATTTGCTAAATACTTTTCTCTTGTGTCTATTTATCTATATAGTAAAATTACCCGTCAACGAAAGTATAGCTATTACACTGAGTTCATGTTAGGGTTTTCAGCTTTTTTCTAATACTAAAAGGACCAATGAATTCTATCTATAACTCCTTTTAGTTTTGTTAGATGAAAGTTTATGCAAACTTTCTTCATTTCTCTTTAAAGTTCTTTGCTATTAGCCGGACGCGGTGGCTCACGCCTGTAATCCTAGCACTCTGGGAGGCCGAGACGGACGGATTGTTTGAGCTCAGGAGTTCGAGACCAGCATGAGCAAGAGCGAGACCCCGTCTCTACTAAAAATAGAAGGAAATTAATAGGACAACTAAAAATATATAGAAAAAATTAGCCGGGCATGGTGGTGCATGCCTGTAGTCCCAGCTACTCGGGAGGCTGAGGCAGGAGGATTGCTTGAGCCCAGGAGTCTGAGGTTGCTGTGAGCTAGGCTGACGCCACAGCACTCTAGCCCGGGCAACACAGTGAAACTCTGTCTCAAAAAAAAAAAAAAAAAAATTCTTTGCTATTCTTTTCTATCCTTCTCACCATGCTTTCAGTTGCCAAATTTTGTAGTGTCAGGGAATTCCTATTCCACAATTTGCTAGCTGTGTGGTAGTAGCTAATTTGTGCTAACCTGTGGCAGTAGCCATGTTATTTAGCCTTTCCATGCCTTCATTGCTTCATCTGTAAAACTGTAATAATAATAATTCCTACCTCACAAGTTGTGGAGAGGATTCAGTGAGATGCTGTTATTATAATTATTTACATACATGTAATAATATATTTTAATAATCCTAATTTTACCCTCATTGAAGATTTCTTTTTTGAGGTAGACATTATTTCTAAGTGAGAAGCTGAAATCAAACCTTTGGATTTGTTTGTTTCTTTGAATATGGGGTATATTCACTTGGTTCAAAATTCAGAGAGGTCTCTAATAGAAAATCTTCTCACTTCTATACCTCACCTTCCCAGTTCCCCTGCCTGGAAGGACCAATGTTATCAGTGTCTTGTGTTTTCTTTCATAAATGTATTTCTTTCATATATGTACTTTACATATATATACACACATGTATACACACACATACATATTTGCTCTCCTCTCCTTTTTTTTTTTTTTTTTTTTTGAGACAGAGTCTCACTGTCACCAGGGCTGGAGTGCAGTGGCATCATCATAGCTCACTGCAACCTTAAACTCCTGGGCCCAAGTGATCCTCCTGCCTCAGCCTCCCAAGTAGCTGGGACTACAGGAACATGCCACCATGCCTGGCTAATTTTTTAATTTTTTGTAAAGAAGGGGGTCTCACTACATTGCTGGGGCTGGTCTCAAACTCTTGGGCTCAAGCGATCCTTCTGCCTCAGCCTCCCAAAGTGCTGGGATTACAGGCATGAGCCACCATGCTTAGCCAGCTGACGTTCTTACTAACAGGTGATAGCAAAATCTGATATCAGGGTTAGTCAGGCAGAGCACTAACATTAGAAAGTGTATTTCATATACCCTCAGGGGTAGAAGAGAAGAATCTGTTGCTTTGGGGGGCTAAAGCTGTACACTTTGCAGATGATGATTGCTCAGCACTAGGCTGGACAGTGCTGCCTCACCGGGCTATAATGCATCAATGATGTGACTATGCGGGTCATTTCTGGCCACAGTAGAATTTATGGGCTTCCTGGTTGGTCCCTCTGAGGTGGTGGGATTTACCAATGGAATTAAGTACAGAGTAGAGTCAACCTGAAAGGCCAGGATAAATTGGAGGAAATTGCCCCAAATGACAGGGTGGTCAGTGTCATTGTTTGTAAGAATGTACCTAAAGCATCCTCCACAGATGGGACAGGATTAGGAAGATCTGCCAGTCTAGAACTTCAGACAACCCCAGAAGGTTGGCGCCTAGAATGTCCAGGGTGTGTCGCAGAATCCCAGATCCTGAGAGGTCCTGGAATAGTCAGGAATAACCTTAGCAGATGTGTGAACTCCCATTGCTAGGACTCCTTTGGATATCATATCAGTCCAGTTAACTTCTCCTAGTCTTTCAGGATCTGCGAGCTGAAACCAAAGAGCATCCTTTTAAAGGCCTCTTTTCCCAGACATGAATCACTGTGGATCAACACATTTAGGTATATCCTAGAGGCAGACCTCTCTGTAAGAGGGAATCCCATTGATTTAATCAGGGAATCTTTATTGGATTTACCAGTGAGAATCTGACAAAAAGGTTGGGAGCTCCAGCTTTTCACTGGGTATGATGTGTGCTTGCTTCCTTCCTAGTTCATAGTAGGGAAGAACTGGCAGACTAGCACAGGAAAGGCAATGCAGTGTGGGAGGAGGACTTCAGGATCAGACACATCTCAATTTGAGTACTAGGTCAGCTACTTACTTGCTCTGTGATGCTGGGGAAAGTATTTCCTGCTCTAAACTTCAGTTTCCTATCCCTTGTTTGGTCTATATATTAGGCTGTCTCTCCTCGTTTCAAATTTTAATGAATACAATTTTTAAGAAGCAAATAAAATCATTTTAAAAAGAAGGAATATACAGACATAAAATAAGATCACGTAGAGATAGCAACGAATTCTGATAAAACCCTAAGTGCTGAGCAGTTTCTTTTTCAAGTTGGAAAAGCCAAACTCTCATCCGGCATCGAAGATGATGGTCTGAGTTTGTGGTCAGGGGCACGTGCGTCATTACGTTATACACTCAAAGGGAGAGAGGATCAAGAATTGGACAGATGCACACTGAAATACATCTAGCTCTCCCTATTTCTATCTTGATAAGATATTCATTTAGCCCATTTTTAATTTGCAAAGTTTAACAATTATAGCCATAACATTACTTATCTCGGCCAGGCATGGTAGCTCACACCTATAATCCTAGCACTCTGGGAGGCCAAGACAGGAGGACTGCTTGAGGTCAAGAGTTTGAGAGCAGCCTGAGCAAGAGGGAGACCCCGTCTCTACTAAAAGTAGAAAAAAATAGCTGAGTGTGGTGGTGGACGCCTGTAGTCCCAGCTACTTGGGAGGCTGAAACAGGAGGATCACTTGAGCCCAGGAAATTGAGGTTTCTGTGAGCTAGACTGACACCACGGCACTCTAGCCCAGGCAACAGAGTGAGACTGTCTCAAAAAAAAAAAAAATTACTTATCCCATTGCTTAGTTACTTTCTTTTGTGTCACAGCAAACCATTTCTGATATTCACTGACAAAGCTAGTTTTTGCCAGAAGCAAAGAAAGGTCATATTAAATCTGCAGCTTTGGGCCCTTTCCCTCCCCCTCCTCTGATGGGTTTATAATCAAGAGCACTGTTTAAGAGTGTCCTGTCCCAGGTCTGGAGCCTAATGCATCCTTTCCACAAAAGCCTGAAGAGGTTTGAATTCTTTGTCTCATGTCTAGTTTTAGATTTCTTCCCAAAAGAGTTTTCCAAACTGATGATCAGGGAGGTTTATCAGAAAAAAGGGGCTGAAAATGTCAAGACCATAAAAATAAAAAAAACTGAAAGCAGATGAAATAGTCTGTATGGAAATACTTTGATTTCTTAAAACTCCCTTTTTATATTAAAAGGTAGATTTTAGAATTAGGGATGGGCAAGTAAGGAAAATAAATAGTTCTTGCTTGAAAAAATTTTACGTAGAAAAAAATTAATTATGGACTCTCTTGCCCAAAGTGACTACCTGGGCAGAATTCATGACTTTGGCCAGGAAACCTGAGAGCGATGCCTGGTGCTGCTACTGAGGTCTGGAGGATCAACAAGCTCCATAGCAGCTTCCTCAGCCAGCCACGTGAGAACTAGATTGTTAAATATTTAGAAGCTAAAGAGAGAGGCCATGAAATAGAAATCCATTTATTCAAGCCAAAAAAGTTTCCGTAATGTTTAATACCGTTATCCATTTTCAAGATTAACCATATAAGAATTCATCAGGATGAAAAAATGACATCTTAACCAGCAGAGAACACAGCAGGATGAATACTAACCTCAGAATGCATTCCCAGCCCACTCCAAGCCACTCTTTTCTGGTGGCAGAAAACTTTCGCTCGTGTCACACACACCAACAAATCTGTGGCCCAATTCAGCCATGGATAGGCATGTCATGTTGCCCAAGGCCATAGTCAAGCTGGTCCCTAAAACCCATTTGATGTCTGAATCTGAATGGAGGAATCTTGGCGTTCAGCAGAGTCAGGGATGGGTCCATTATATGATCCATAAACCAGAACCTCACATCTTGCTATTCCGGCGCCCACTACCCAAGAAGCCAAAGAAATGAAGCTGGCGAGCCACTTTTCAGCCTCAAGCTTTACACAGCTGTCCTTACTTTCTAACAACTTTCTGATAACATTATTACGTTGCCTTCTTGTTTCTCACTTTGATATTTAAAGGATGTTCAATACGCTGCTTGAATATGCTGGTAACTGCTTTACTTCCTGAGTAGAGCCAACCCACAGCCCTGCCAGATGAGGGCCACAGCCTCAGCCGAGTGTCACCCCAGAAGCCACAGTGTGCTCTGTATCGAGAATACACTTGGCAGATGGAGGGACCATCTGAGAATAAGACCATGGCTGTTACAGGGATTGTATAAACATGCTGTTTTGTTTTTTCCTGCTGGGTGTTATATGTGTGGTGTCTTATGGATTTGTTTCAATGTATTGGAAACTTTCCATTTTATTCAAGAAATCTGTTCCATGTTAAAAGCCTTGATTAAAGAGGAAGTTTTTATAATCTCAAAAAAAAAAAATTGCATTCCCAGCCAGCTGCAGTGGCTCATGCCTGTAATCGCAGCACTTTGGGAGGCCGAGGCAGGAGGATGGCTTGGGGAGTTCGAGACTAGCCTCAGCAACATAGAAACACCCTGTCTCTATAAAAAAAAAATTTAAAAATTAGCTGGGCGTGATGTACATGCACAGAGCGAGACCCTGTCTCTAAATAAATGAATGCATGAATGAATTAATGCATTCCCTAAAATATTGTTGCTTAATCTCATTTCCTCAGGGTATTCTGTCCCCTACTTGCATTTTTTCTACTTTGGGGCCCGAGTGGTGGCGAGGCATGCTTTCTACATCTTGGTGATCTGGTTTCCCTTCCACCTATAACCATGGCTGGAGAGCTTTTCCTTTTTATAACCTTCCCCTAGAGAGGGCTAGCAGCCTCCATGTCTAATCCAATCTGAGGGATGTGCTGTTTGGTTAAGAACCAGTGGTTTTTAGGATGAGCTAATGTTAAACCAAACCTCAAAGCCAGTCTCAGAGAAGGGAAATCAGGAAACAAAGAATTGTAAAAGCTGCCTGGCAAAATAAAGAGTAAGGTTTTAAAATCCCATTTTGTCTTTTGTTTGCAATGAAGTAGGGACCCTCCCAAGCCACTCAATTTAGTTCGGTAAGCACTCCTTGAAGGCTTAAGGGGTCAGTAGAGGGGAGGGAGGTTACTGCTCCAAAGAGGAATCGGGTTCCCAAGCATGATCTTACTTTCCCCTAGCAGTATGGCATTGCCTGTCCTCTCCATCACAAACTCATTTCTAGTGCGCTACTAGAACTTCAGGGAACTTTAGGATATGAACAGGATACATTTAAATAAATAGATTTCCTCACGTGATTCATTTAAGTATCACTGAAACTAACAGTTCTGGGTTCTAATCACTTTTCCACTAAATAGCGATGTGACCTTGGAGAATTTACTTGATTTCTCTGAACCTCATTTCTTTATAAAATGGAAATCTTTCTTCTGTCATTCACCAACCTCACCAAGTTCTGCGCACTGTCCGATGGAGTCCCTGAATAGTCTTTCCCTAGCCCCAAAGCCAAGCATCCATCTTTGCCTGCCCATTCTAGAGTGGATTCTACTGGGTCTTCCCTTCTGTCTGCTATTTTCACTCTTTCTTTTTTTTTTTTTCTGAGACAGAGTCTTGCTCTGTTGCCCAGGCTAGAGTACAGTGGCATCATCACAGCTCACTGCAACCCCCACTCCTGGGCTCAAGCAATCCTCCTGCCTCAGCCTCCTGAGTAGCTGGGACTACAGGCCCACACCACCACGCTGGCCTAACTTTTTCTATTTTTAGTAGAGATGGGATCTTGCTTTTGCTTAGGCTGGTCTCGAACTCATGACCTCAAGCAATTCTGCCTCAGCCTCCCAGAGTGCTAGGATTGCAGGCATGAGCCAACCCACCTGGCCCTATTTTAGCTCTTAAAGCCTGTCCCCTGTTACTTCCTTTCTAAGCCATTCATTTCATTTTGTTCTCTATTTTTTTTTTTTTTTAAAGACAGGGTCCTGGGTCTTGCTCTGTTGCCCAGACTGGATTGCAGTGGTGCCAACACAGCCCACTGCAACCTCCAACTCCCAGGCTCAAGCAATCCTCCTGCCTCAGCCTTCCAAAGTGCTGGGATTACGGGC